CGAAAAATATATATTTTTGTATATATATATATATATATATTATGTATGTTATATTCAAAAATTATATAAATTTGACACACTTTTTCGCCTATAAAATGTAAATAGTTTCTGGCACGGGCTAAAAGTGATAACACCCCGAAATAATAGCGTACAGCAACTTGCACTTGCAAGACAACTCATTGACATTAATAGAGTAGTTGCCATTACGGTGTAGGGAGCAAACTTTCAAAGTACATTGTACACCCATACAATTAAGGAGAGTTTTGTCGATATTCTTGAATCTTCGTAGGTAATTAATGAATGAAAAATCCATATTTTACCTTGCATTTTCTACGACATTTCGCAATGCGCCAGCATGATACATGAAAAGTCATACTCAAATTTTGAAAACTATATCAAATGGCTGCCACAAGTTACCCTACTTTTTTCTCTAATACACATACCCTTGAATAACTTACTGTCCTAATCAAACAAAATTTCAAGAATATAAAAGAAACTAGTTGGCTAATCAAATTTGATCTTGATCTCTGTCAAGATCACGCACCAAGTTGCAATTCTTATGCATAAATTGGCCCATTTTTTTAAGAATGATAATATTTTTCACACATATCATGTCTTTAAACGCCAGAAAGATTGGATCAAAACCAGCCAAAGACCTCTTGTCGATTGGAACTACGTTAGAAATAAGATGCCAAGTCAGATGCTGAAGTATCTTGAGTTGGAAAATACCATATTAAAATTGGCATATGCAGAATAGCCCAAAAAACATATATTTCTCAGCTAATCTTTGTCCTTTTGTCGGCCTACATATGGTGGGGCAAACCTTAATGGCTGAGTTTAGGCGAATCCACGTCTTTGAAAAGGTGATGGCCAAATCTCAGCGGCCAACCAATTTTAGGCGAATTCCACATCTTTGAGAAGGTGGTGGGGCAAATCTCACTAAAGACGCTGAGTCTTAAGGGGTGAATGTATTGCCCATGACGGAGAATGGGCTAATGAGGACTGGTCAAGCAGGACTGACAAATTTCTAGGCCGACAAACTTCTGAAAAAGGAATGCACATCTCACCTTAGGCGAATCCCATATCGAAATGGGAGAGGAAAGTGAAGAACCTTCTAAGACATGACACAAATGCAAATGGATACACGCTTTTAGGGCTTGAGATGACGCAACATGAAAGACAAACCCGTGTTGGCCTAGGCCCAAAACAGACAATATATGTTATGGGCATAGGCCTAGGCCTAAACCGGACAATTTATGATATGGATGACAAATATAAAATAAAAAGTTAAAGGAGAAAGCTTAGCAGCTTAGGATAAGGACCACCGTTTTTGTTAAAGATATTTACACAGCATTAAATGAAAAGATAAATGAGCTGTACGACAAAGAATATATTTTGATTATAAATTAATAAACTCAACGACAAATTTATAGGACACGGAAAATAAAGACCACTATATACCAGATTTGACGACTCAAGTAGTTTTAAATGGATCTTAAATGACACCAAATCAGAAGGGGTTAAAAAAAGATAAAGATAAAGAAAAACGTAAGAAAGGGGATTAACGATATGTCTGCTCTAGAAATTAATTGTTCACTGTCAAAGAAAGAGCCAAGTGTGGACCAAATACATAGAAACAAGATTTTTTTCAGTGAGAATTTATACGCCGTGAATGCTGACTCAAACAGTGAATTCTCAAATATATATCTAATTCAAGGTATTCTTGTTATTTACACACAAAGTTCGATTCAAAACTCTGAAATTCTACATAACACGCGATCACACATTTGGATCTACCAATGTTTTTTGGTGAGAAATTAACTCCAAAAGGAAACTTTTGTTGCTTTAATCGGTTTCACACGTCAGTTCTAGCTTTGCCAAGTCATTTCAGTAAAAATATTACTACTATTGTTATCGCCACAACATTTGGGATGCAGATCTGGTTACACCTAGAAAATTAAATACTCCTAGAAAGGAGCCACTCGTACAACTTCTACAGCATAAAAATACGCATATGTCGCTCATCCAAAAACTCCCTTCCTTTCTTGCTTCTCTTCCTCACTTTAGTCCTTGCCTCTAAAACTTCTCTATTTGAACCAAACGCCCCAAAACAAATATGAAGGAAGATATACAGCAAAGTGAGAACAGGTTACAGGAAGAGATAAGAGCTCCTCTCATCACTCAAACATATAAAAGGGCAACAGAAGAACAGGCAGAAAATGGCTGCTACGAGAAGAAACAAAACAGGTGCATGGTTTACCTCAGCACATTTGTGGCTGTCTGTGGCTCCTTTGCATTTGGATCTTGTGTAAGTTCATCTCTCATTCAGGGGTCTACAGTCTACTCTTGTTTTCTTAGTTTAAGTTCTAAGCACTTGACAGTGCAATTTGTACAATTAGATTACTCATAAGATAATTGCTGCTAAATATTTGTGGCAAACACTAATTGGTAACCTGATAAAAATGGCCAGTAATATGGTATAATAAGTCAAACTACACTGATTAATAGTGTAAAAGATCTTGCACTATTAATGTATATAACTTAAATCATTCGTTTCTCCCTTCTCATATGTGACGCTTCTCAACTTTTCAGGCCGGGTATTCATCACCAACACAATCCGCCATCAGAGAAGATCTCAATTTATCTATAGCAGAGGTTAGAGAAACGATGTACATATCTACATTTTTTGGATAGAGTATACCTGTTGCTTTTAAATACAGTAAAAACAAGGGGGAAAAAGCTAATGGATAGAAACTTTGACTGGCTTGTAAATCTCTATACAGATAATTACATCCCTGCAATTCTCCAGTATACTTTCACTTAATGAGTATAACTTCTATACATTGACATTTAATTAATCAAATTTTTTCACTATCAGGTTACCTAAAAGATAACTATAGGTAGTACGAGATTAGTTACAGGTAAAATAAGACAAGTAACCTACTATAATAGATTGAAGTACAGTGATAAGTGTAAAAATTCTTTACACTATCAGTATATATAAGTTAAATCCTTCACTCATTCACTTGGTTAGATGAGCATTTTCTAGTTAGTCTGATCAAGAAAAGTTCAATATACTTGCAATCAACCTAATAGTTATTCCATACAAACAAGAAATGAACTAGCATAGGACACAAATGTTTGTATGGACTCGTTAATTTTCTGGAAAAGCTGGTTGTACTAGAGGAAAGAACACTAACATGATGGCAAGTATCTACCTTGATTAGAATACTTCAGTCCTTAATGGAAAAACCTTTCTTGTTTGGAAGAATATTTGGCATTCTTAAACTGTGTTCTTGTTTTAGACTTTACCTTAGATGTGTTCAACATTTTGTACTACGCAGTTCTCGCTCTTTGGATCAATATTGACATTTGGTGCGATGATTGGAGCAATCACAAGCGGTCCCATTGCTGATTACATTGGCCGTAAAGGGGTAAGCCTGGAGTATATTCTAAGTACACCAGTATCCACCTCCATATATCTTCTTTATTACAGCCTGATATTTATCTGACTATGTGTAACATGCAAACAGGCAATGAGAATGTCAAGTGCTTTCTGTGTTGCTGGGTGGTTTGCCATTTACTTTGCTCAGGTTTATTACAAGTTCTCTTTTCATCTTCATGACACGGTATTGCTACCTAGGTCTTACAAACTGATAACTATTTTTTCCTCTTCAAAGGGAGCTCTTTCTCTGGACATTGGAAGATTGGCAACAGGATATGGAATGGGAGTTTTTTCTTACGTGGTACATACTCTGTTTCCTAGAGATTTTAACAAAATATCCAACTATAGTGTGCTTTCGACTTTCTTGATTCCAACATTTCCCTGACAACAAATCAGGTGCCTGTATTTATAGCTGAAATTGCACCTAGAGATTTACGAGGAGCTTTGACAACCATAAACCAGGTAAAGAAGTACATTTTCTACCTGTGCTCCATACAGCAACTTTATAGTAGAATGCTTTTACTTGAAATTTTTCTATCTTAGTTATATAGATTTTTGATAACCGTGATGTTCTGGCCAGCTTGTGCACCTCGACTAATTCTGTTTTTCAACTTCTTATCCTAAATGCAATAACCATTTTAAAATGGTTTTGGTCGCTAATCTTATCATATTACAGCTGAACTAATAACAGTACTCCAGTGCTAGTAAAACCTACGTATTGTTTTTCTACAAGACTACTGCCCTTAACTTTTTCCTACTTACCGGATAGTTAGACTCAAAGTGTCCTAAGGTTATTGAAATGTTGGAGACACTATCTTAATATGGTATAACTAGGACTATTAATCCAACATTTTCTATTATTTATCGAGTAATGTATATCACCATCTCTTTAGCTCAGATAAACTGAAAACAGCGTGGTTATTTCAGTCTTCACTAAAATAAAGAAAAGCTAAATAGGAAGAAACATACTATACTTTTACAGATTATAGAGTAGATGTTGTAGTTGGCTGTTGATTATCCTCCCTTGACAGTTTGTTACTTCTACACCTCCAGCTGATGATATGTTGTGGAGTCTCAGTTGCCTTCATTATAGGAACTATGCTGACATGGAGGACTTTGGCCTTAACAGGTTTGTTTTAGCATCAAGTTGTATTGTGAGATCTAGAAAGAACTAGCTGCTACTACAAGGGACAAGACACGCAAAAAGAAGAACGAAAGAAAAACTGAGAAATAACCACAATGAACAATGTATTCAAGTGCTAAGGGTTTGATTTTCTTTTTTTCAGGATTAATTCCATGTGCTATTCTCCTTTTCGGTCTCTTTATTATTCCAGAGTCTCCTAGGTGGTTGGTGAGTTACAATATTCACTGGCTAAGAGTTCATCCTGTCGGTAAAATCAAGAAAATGACATAACATTTCTACCAAATATGTAGGCAAAAATAGGACATCAAAAGGAGTTTGAACTTGCACTCCGCAGACTTAGAGGCAAAGATGCTGACATATCTGAGGAGGCAGCTGAAATCCAGGTTCATTATTCTGGAAAACTTAAATTTCAGTTTCTTTCATACTTTGCAGGTCGCCTAAAACTTCCTCAAAATACTCTCCTAATATTACGTATTTGATCTGCTTGACAGGATTATATAGAAACCCTTGAAAAGCTTCCCAAAGTCAACTTGTTTGATTTGTTTCAAAGAAGATACTTGAGCTCACTCATAGTAAAGTTCCTTTTCCACATTGTTTTTCGACAATTTGGTAGCTGAAACTGTTAGTTAATTTATGTATATGATAAACCTATGGCCAGGTGGGAGTTGGACTTATGGTGTTTCAACAGTTTGGTGGAATCAATGGAATCTGTTTCTACACCGGTAGCATATTTGAGTCCTCAGGTAGGAAACCCTCATTGTCAAATATATCATGCTTTACACAACAAGAAATGTAGGACATTCAACATTGTATTATCAGTAATCAGCTAATGTGATAAGCAGATGAGGAAGATAATGTTTAGAACTTGAAACCGCACTAATCTCTTTAGGCTACTTTCTTCGCCATTCTATAGTCCCATTTTAATTAAGTTTGAAGGCCTGTAAAATATAACATGTCATTTCATTTCCCTTCAGCTCAAGAATTTAAAGCAAACAACTGTGTTAAACCATAAAGTTATTTGTTCTTTAACTGTATTCCTTTTCCAGGGTTCCCCTCTGATGTCGGAACTATAATCTATGCAATTATACAGGTTTCAACTCATACTCTCTCAGTTCTATGGATGTTGGTGTTATAATGGATAATTCACTTTACTTTATTTTCTTCATCAGGTTCCCATCACCGCATTGGGTGCAGTCTTAATTGACAGAGCTGGAAGAAAGCCTCTTTTATTGGTATATCTAGGAAAAGAAAGCCATTTTCTTGAGGATATTACCCGTTGCATTCACCAAATATAATGATGATCATATCTTTGCAGGTTTCTGCGACAGGACTTGTCATAGGCTGTATACTAACAGGAACCTCATTCTATCTGAAGGTTAACACTAAAACATAAATTGCTTAAGCTTCTTAGCATGTCTCATGAACATTTTGACGAAAAAAATTATTGTTTGACCAGGGACATGAAATTGCAGTAAAGGGAGGACCAATACTTGCCGTCACAGGCATACTGGTACCATAAATATCCACTCTGATTGTCCTCTTCATAGTAGCTTACCCCGATCCCCACTCTCCCTCAACCATGTGAAAAAAAGTGGAGGTTTTCCTTCCAGTTTATCTAATAATCATTCTCAAATGCAGGTCTATATCGGGTCCTTTTCGATAGGAATGGGAGCAGTTCCCTGGGTTGTAATGTCGGAGGTATGTAAAATCTGTACTATCCTCTATTATTAACATTTGAGACATGTCGAGCCTAAGAATTCAATTACCTTTCTTGCAGATATATCCAATAAATATTAAAGGGGCTGCTGGGAGCCTTGCAACACTAGTGAATTGGTTTGGGGCATGGGCGTGCTCTTACACTTTCAACTTCCTCATGACCTGGAACTCTTTTGGTAAGCTGTTGCCACAAATATCATCTCTAAAGTAATGCAAAAATGAGAATCATGCAAAAAAAAAAAAAAAGATTTTTTTTTATTTTTTATAGAAGTGCCAAAGGAACCTATATTGGAAATTAATGTTGCAACTTGCAAGCAAATTTGATTGAAGATAGGGTTCGGGGGGTAAGTCCATTTATCCGTCATGGTTTAAAAATGATAGACAGAAGAAAGGAGAAACTAATAACAAAGGAGGGGTATAAACTATTTACTGCATATTAAGACAGCTAAAGGTTAGATATGTATGCTCACATTAGTTTCACTGGTTGCAGGTACTTTCATTCTTTATGCTGCAGTCAATGCACTCTCAATTTTGTTTGTGATCAAGATAGTACCTGAAACCAAAGGAAGAACTTTGGAACAAATCCAGGCTTCTATTAATGCATCATAAAATGCTCAGCACCTTGTTTCGTCCTTCCTACTGAAAACTATCAAATAGCCAGAGAGATGTCAGGACGCGCGCTGCTGGTTGAAATCTCATACTCATCCTGGGATTTTCCAAAGATTTAAAATGATCGACTATTTGTTGCATAGGGGACCGTGTCCATATTCTCCATTTGTTTAAGGTATGAATACCGTATTAGAATAAAATGATTAGAATAATGTGTTCCAGTGCCCTTTTTTTTTCTTCTGAGTATCATTCAGTTAGTCAAGAAAAGTCTTCCCAAGATGTGGAATCACATTTTTGAACTGTACTCATTGATTTATCTATCTTGCAGAAACCCTAGTTTTCTGCTCGCTTTTCCTTAATTACTTGGGAAATTCAGGTGTCTCTTCACAAACCTAATGCCTTATTTTATCAGTGTACTGTTTCCTCAGTCTAGAGCAGATTAATATGCAACCGACGAACCTTACAAATTTAATGAAAATTATGAAAAGAACAACGATTTTAATGAGCACGAGCTACACAATATAGATGAAGGGTGATATGTCTAAGGGAGGTCAAAGAAAATCCCTACCAGATTAGTGCATCAAAGGAGGGCTGCTTAAAAACTAAAGAGATTATCTAGCAACTTTGCCATGCTAGACCTTTGTAGAATAGAATTAATTTGCCTAATCCATCATTAACCAATTGCTGTTCTCTGAAGAAGACCCTTCAACTGTGACAGCTTTTGAGAGGTTGTTTAATGCTATGTGGACTAGGGCTTAATATAATTAAGTCCTCATTTCTCCAAGTTTCTGCCCTATAAATAAAGGAAGTGGTGATGCAGATATTCAGCTGATACAATCTGAGAATAATATTGCTTCCTTAATATAAGAATACACAGAAGTCTTACGCACTACCCTCCTCAAACCCCGCCTGCCTGTGGGATTACACTAGGACTGTTGTTGTTGTACACATAATATATAACAAGCATGGAAAGAAGGCAGATCGATCTACACTGCAAACTGCTAAAAACCAGAAATATCTATCAAATCAACAATCTTTTAAAACTCTTAGCATCTTTAGTGGCTGATAATGACTGATGTTAGCTGGTGCTGTGATTTCAAAGTTGAAGTGCAGTAACTCATAAAAAATCTCAGTTTTACCTACAAAATTAATTGCTAACTATATTAAATCAGCCTTACATTTACCTTAACAAACCATGTTGAAGTGCGAAAGAGGTATGGTTACTTCATGTGAATTCTTCAAAATATACTAAAGACTTGCAAAAGAACTGAACTTTGTCTTGATTCCCCCATTTTTACTGCCGTAGTAAGAATAAATGCTTCATTTTCTGTAGCTGGAAGACTTTCAGGAAATTTAAATAAGAAAAATTGATTATATGAGATAGAGGCGGATCTATGATTTCAAGTACATGGATGCACTACTAAAAAAAGAGAAAAAAATGCATTAAGTATGGAATTGATCCTATTCCTCTTGGTAAAAAATTTAACCATCAAAACAAGTGCGCCATTTAACTTTCTTTGAGCATGAGTGCCAACAATTAATATTATACTAATTTTTAAAAATATATACATAAAGTATCTAATTTTACGGAGAGACTACGGGTTCACTTGCCCCATAATTCCCAAAAATTTGCCCTTGTTTGAGAGTGATACAGAAATTTAACGTAAAAGAGATGATAGCAGTAGTTAGAACATTACCTATTCTTATAACTTTGAAATTCAAACTCCCTTTTAGTTAGTTTCCTGATAATCAATTTGATAAACAGACATTATCGGTTTTCAGCTCAAGAGAAGCATAATCATCCATTTCTGATATCTCATCTCCTAACTCCTAAGTAAATAGTACTATTTTATCTTATACTTCCTCGAATGACCGACCGGTTCGAAGAATAAAATAAATACATCTATTTTCCCTATGAATTAGAAAATGGACTATACTATTTTTTATATTCTTTCCAATATAGTAATTTTTATGTAGCCGGACCCAATGTTAATTTCCGATTTAAATGTCAGCTTCAATTTTGGAGCGATTCATAAAATTATTTTAGTTGTCACAGTTGAAAACTCAAGGGTCATCCGTTTGTGTTCTCCCTGCTACTCCTACAGCCAATTTTAGTCTCTTCTTTCATTTTTCATTCTTTATAATTATCACTAAGGTTGTATTGTGAATATTCCAAATAGAAAAACTTTAATTAGTTTTTTGTTGTGGTTAAAATATTTGAAAATAAAAGAAAAAGAAAAAAATTGTTTGAACAACTATGATGATAATAATGTCATAAAACACATGGAGTATCAGATTAGCAGAACGGAGTGAAGTTACTTTTAGTGGGATTGGTAGAAGAGGAAAGAATTTAGTAGGATTGAAATTCTGTACTTTGTCATAGGGAGGCTGCAATTAGGTTTTATGTATTAAAATATTTCTTCTTAATTAATTCATTCAAAATATCTCAAAATAAGGTCCCTATTATTTATTTTTTTAGGAAAAATGGAATTGTGGCTACTAATAGTCTTTAGGTAATGGGGCATGCTAGGAATTGTAATAGCTAATTTATGCGATGTATCAGCTTGACAGATTCCATTTATTTAGCTCTCTCTCGAACATGAAAAAGAAAAGTTACACTTTGCTTCAGCTAATACAGATGAATTTACTCCAAGTTCAAGTATAATTTTTATTCCATTAGGAGTCGTTCGGTGAAGTTTTTTTATCGGTACGGATATGTACATCAAATAAATAAATATATGATACGTACTTGCATATTTAGGCGGAGACATATTGGTATTGATAGAACCCAGTAACTTTGACTCAAACCCTATATTTCTGTTAATTTTTTTTAATATGTACAAATAAGTATTCAGAACCCAGTAAATAAAAGAATTTGGTCCAAACCCTATAAACTAAAAATTCTAGCTTCGCTTATGTGCACATTCACTTTTATCACTTAAACTATGGTTAATTAATGCATTCTTTTACTTCATTAAATCACTTGACTATGATAAATTGAACTAGTTCAGTACTATACATTATGCATCAAATAAAAAGACATGTCAAATATATAAACAAACAATATATATGAAACAAAAGAAAAAAAAGGGAACTTTTGACAAAAGTTGCTAGGTAAATTTTTTGTCAAGTTACGTACCAGAGAAAAGGAAGCAATAGACCAAAAATTAGCGCAAAATTATCAACATGCCATGTGCTAAGGGGTGGGAGGAATCACTTTGAGGTAGAACAAATACTTATCCGCATTATATTCGTATTGTACTAACTCAATGACGCCATTGATGTGTCTCTTTGTATAATTTTTTTTCCATGTGATAGTACCAAACTAATATTCCCTCCGTTTAAATGGACGTAATTTGATTAAATACGAAATTTAAAAAAGAATTATTTTTGAAATTTGTAATGCTAAACATGTCAAGAGATATATATTTATGATAAGATCTTATCACTAATGAATACAATCAAAATTTAAAGTTGAACTATTTTTAATTACAAAAAGTATATACGTTCATTTTGTGTCCCTTAAAATTTAAAATTTTCCAATATATATAGTTCAAGCATAAGTATAGAAAAACTATTACTCTGGTGAACTTTACTTATAATTGGGTGAGGTAGATTAGCCTAGTAGGGGTGGGGAAAGGGACATCAATGCAATTAAAGGGGAGAAAAAAGAGGAAGGATACTTTCATAAAATGCACCATCAATGCAATTAAAGGGGAGAAAAAGAGGAAGGATACTTTCATAAAATGCACCTTGAAATTTGATTGCATTTAGCTCTACACTAAATTAACAAATGTAAAATATGTATTGACATATATACTAGTACCTTTTATCACTTCTTCATCATTAATAAGTATTTTCTTTTTTTATTTTATGTGACACTATTTTTTTAATAATTGTTTTCAAAAAATAATTTTTTTAATATTTAAACAATTTATCTTTAAATTTATTATTTTACATCATTTTAGCAACGAAAAACCCATGTCATGTTTAAGACTATTATAAGTTCCAAAAAACTTTTGTGTTTTTTAAAACTTCATGTCCAACTAGCTAATCAAACAAGTTATTCACATAATTAAAATGAAATGGAGGGAGTATACATTTTACTACTATATTTTATCACTTAATTATGATAAGATTAATATAATTTAACGTAAACACGTAATGCAAAGTAAGACCATTGGAATTAAAATGAAAATAAGCAAGATCGCTCACCATTATTTTCACTCTTACGAATCAACCATTTATTTTTTTATTTTTTGTTTTTGTTTTTGCATGAGGTGGTTACTGCTAAAAAGAACCCCTACTTACACATTTTTCATACTATTACATATTCGTTCTACGTGCATTTTCAGTCCTACAGTACAAACATGCGCACGCGAATTGACGAAGATCACAAAAATCCCAGCAAAACCGTGGAAACTCGTCAACACTAACTGTCTACCATTACTTTTCTTCCTCATCTATCACTATCACTACAACAGTATAACTGCCGTTTCAAGATTTTCTTGACGTTTCTCCATCTTTCTTGGGTAATCTGCTTCTACGCTAATAATCAGAAGATCCATTCTTGTCGATTTCACTGTTTTCTTGCTCATCATCATCATCATCAGAAGAATCCCCGCCATTGATGAACTTCACTCTCATGCGGCCGCCGTCGCTACTTTCATCATCTGCAGATGGTGGTGAACGTACAACCAACACCTCCGGCCGATTGTTTCTCACGCTCGAAATCTGCAACCGTCCATTTTCCCGCACCTTAACTAGACTAGATCTTGGCCGTCCGTTCTTTTTCAAAATTGATAGAAGTGGCGGGAAACTTGCAACTGCCAATTTTCCCTCTCTCTGCTGGCGCATCCGCATTACCGTTGTGGTATTTGTTCTTGATCTCCGTTCTACTGTCAGCAACTCTAATTCCTCGAAACTGCATTTTGCTTTCTCGTTTAAGCTCTCAAACCCTAGGCTTTCTGTTAACGTCTCACAACAATAATCCACACTTTCTTTAAGATTAAAACTATTGAGTCTGTGTTCAAGTTCATCACTGGTTGACTCGTTTGACCCGTGATCTTCCTTTTCGCTACTGGAACTCTCAGCAGATTCGTTATTTGTGTTCCACATTGCTTCAAGATTAATGGAATGAATGAAATTAAAACGTTAGCTGATTAAGTCAGCTGGAGAAGTATACAACGGGAAGCAATGAGAGAATAATGGTTATGGCTATAGAGTAGTGATGATTAGTGTATCAGAAACAGTTGGGGCTGGCAAGAAGTAGAAAGGAAACTAGAAGAAAGAAAATTGGGAGATTTTGCGTGAAAATGAAACGCTTTTCAAGTTGAGTTATTATCTTAACTTGCGAATGAAAAATTATTGA